ATTACTTATGGCTTATTTTAGCTTATAAGCCAGTTTGACCAGCTTATAAACTTAGCCAAACACCCTCGTGGTTTATGAGAGGCGGAAGAAAGTAACTTCTCCCCCTAAACAATTTTTTGAAAAGTACTTTTGAAAAAAATACACTTAGAAACACTTTTAAAAGCTTGGTCAAACACTAATTGCTGCTCAAAAATGCTTTTCAAATTGATTAGCCAAACACGAACTAATTTTCAACAAAAGTACTTTTTTGAAAAGTTTTTACAAAAAACTCATCTCAAAATATGCAGATTTTAGAAACTTGGCCAAATAGGCTATTAGTATTATATAAATCGATCCAAATTCATTTTTTGTTTTTATTCCTTTTGTATCATATTTTTATTTTTTTTTGCATGCCAATCTTGTGACGATGGTTCAGGGGCGGCTCAACATAATATGGGGCCTAAGGCGAAAATAAAAAGTGAGGCCTTAATTTTTTTTAATTATTATTATTTACTCTTGACATTCTGCAATCGTTTTTGTCATCATCTAACTTAACTAAGTTAGTGACTTGTTCATCTACAGAACATTCTACTACATTTTGTTATTTAGTTTTTTCATTGTTTGTCAAAAATTTGTCAACGGCTCTCTTTTGACATTTTATTAAACTTTCAACTTTTCTTTTCTTTTGGATTTTTGAATAACCAGATTCATATTTTCTTGTTGACATATTTATATTCTAAAAAAAAATTAAACAATATGTATGGAGTAAAATTAATAAAATAATAAATAATAAATGAAAATAATACTAGAAATTAGAATGATATTACCCAATGACTGATTCAAGAAGTTTGAAGACTTTGATTCCAAAATATCTAGTTGTTGGCTTGTAGGAGAAAGAAAGAAATCTAGTAGAATTGTAGAAAAAAGATGAGCATGAATAAGAGGAAGGAAGAAAGTATGTCTCATATATGGAATATCATATACGAGGAGTGAAATGAAATTGTGACGTTGGGATTTACTTGGGAAGAGTAAAAAGTAGAATTGTCAAATCAAATCAAATTGAAACCTATTTTTCTACTATGAAAAATACAAAAGTACTATATATAATATATATATATATATATATATATATATATATATATATATATATATACATATATATATATATATATTATTCCTAAAAAATGGCCCCAAAATTGGGGGCCTAAGTCACTTGCCTTACCTCATACAATGTCAGAGCCGGCCCTGCGATGGCTATGCATTGTTTGATATTAACTTACATTTTGCAGGTTGGATCTCTGTCTTCAAATAATCAATTGAAATACTGATAGATGAAATATACACAAACTGCAACGGTATCTACATGATGTCTTAGTCAACACATGAAGAGAGGAAGACCAAAAGCTAATGAAATATAGCCATTGATCGATAGGTGGTCAGAGTCTGAATGGAAGCAAAACCCGAAAAAAAGTTAAGTTGGATAGTAAGTAACATGGGCCTACACAAAATGTTTTATAAGCCACAGAAGAACGAAAATAAATAGTTGTAATTATCATACTTTTAGATAATAAATAGTTTTAATCAATTAGTTTTATTGAATCTTAAGCAAAATCATGTGCACAATCAACGCGTCAGGAGACAATATGCATGCCAAGTGGTGTCATTTTCTTGTACGTATCCGTTTTCTCACGAAGCGGTGTCTAAGGAAAATATGGTGCATCAAAACCTTTTCATTGTATGGTGCAACTTTTTGTATTGCATTTTTTTTGAATTTGACGGGATTTTAGTAGCATTACTTTTTAAATCATTTTTACTTGATAGTTCAAATTAAATCTAACCATTAGGGTTTGTTGGAGATCAAAAGAATCCATTTTTAGCAAATTTAAAGGACAAAAATTACCAGAAATATGTTTAAGAAATTATTTTAAACATATTCCAAAAAATAACAGGACCATTTGTGTTATTTCATCGGGTACTTTTCGAAAACTTGTTGAAACACCCTCTGCTATTATAAATTCTCAGAGGGTTTGTACCAAAAAAAGGAGCAACCAGCGGCTATATCTCTCTCTTTCTCTGTTTCAGTACGCAGCCTCCTCTCCAACTCCACTTGTATGTTTTCTCCTTTCTCATTCTCTTCTTGTTCTCGTTTTAGCTGATACTTTGGTCTTTGCTGTTGAATTTTTGGATTTTTGTTTGATTGGAATCCAATTTATATGCTGAAACTCTTTTTTGCTCTTTTCTACTTTTTGTAGGGGAACTTATTGTTAATTGCTGTGAATCATAGTTTCCGATGGTGAAGATAACTATGAACCGTCGAGGTGTGAATTTTGTCTCTTTTCTCCTTTTTTCCGCTTCGCATTTTCCTTAAATAGTTTGGTTATGGTTTGATTTTTAAGCAACCATGTGTGTGGGCGTATTTGGTTTTGAAAGAACTGTTTTTAAATAATATCTTACGGAGAACAAGGCAGCTGATTTCTAGATTTTTTTTTTTGCTGCTTGCTTTCAGTGACAAAATTTATGTTTTTTGCTTTTGAGTATATAAAAGGCTCACAAGTTGGACTTCAAAAGCCTCATTTTGATGAAATAAATTTTTATAGTGAATGCTATAATTCTATTGTTGAGATTGCTCTTAAATGTTGTAACTTAGCTCTGTCTCTTTTTTGCTATTGGAAACCCAATTTATGTGTCGAATCTGAGTTTTGTAATTCTTTGGCTGTTTGATTGATCTATAATGATCTGATTT